AGATGATAATATGTAATCTACTAACAGGTGATTTCTTACTGTTATGTTTTTTGTTTTTTTGTTTTTTGTTTTTTTTTTTTGTTTTTTTTGTTTTGTTTTGTTTTGTTTTTGTAGTTCTGTATTACGTGTACCCTTACACTGCTTTGGTTTGTTTTGTGTTTTTCTCTTTTTCCTCTTAAATAAAAAAAAATGAATGCCCACTTCTGTCCCATATTGTAGTGGCAGTGATATCTTGTAATTATGGAAAACATGGAGATTTTATGAATTTAGGCAGAAAGATTACTCAAAATGACTGCCTGCCCTAATTCAAGTCTGTCTGTTTTACCAAGACAGAGGGCAAAAGAGCTCACAGGATGGCTTCCCAACCCAACTCTGCCTAAATATGTTGTTCTGGATAAATATTGCCAAGAGACTTGTGACCACTGTCTGCTTCCAGCCCCCCGTCTCTAACTGCTGCTTCTTTGTTAGTTTTTTTTTAATTTTTAAGTAACATATATATACATAAAAGTCCAAAGTCTTAATTGTAAAACTCAATTGTCACAAGGTGATTATGTCAATGTGATAAGATCCAGGTTCAAAAATATTCCATGACTTCCAAAGAACTTTTGTGCTCTCCTTCCCAGCCTAACCACTAACTTGACTTCTAATAGCATGTTAACCTTAAAACTTTTTGTGTTAGTACATTAGTATCATACAGCTACCTCATTAACAAGGATGGATTTCACACTGAGTTGAGCCAAGAAGCTAGATATAAAATAGTACACATTATGATTCTGCTCACACAAAATTTAAAAATATTTGTGTCACTTCATAAATGAAGCCCTGTAATGCCTCCAGGTTGACTCAGTGAGCTCTGTATCATACCTTTAATTGTACATGTGCAGATATATCTTTTAGGTATACACATGAAGGTGAAATGACTAGGTGTTAGATGATATGTATTCAACTTCAGATGTTCCCAAGTACTTTTACCAGTTTATATCCCTATTAGCAGATTAGGAGAGTTACCATTGTTTCATATCAGTAGTACTTTGTATTGTCATTCCTCTCAATTTTAGCCATTTTGGCCAAATCTTTTATTTTGTAGTTTTAGTTTTCTGATTAATGAGGAAAATTGAGATCTGACTGGCCTGCTCTGTGAGCACAAAGGAAAAGTCAGTACAGCTAAGATCAAATAGTTTACCTGGGCATGTACTAATGGATAGTGGAAACAGGTGGATCTTGTGTTAGTTTAATTCTTCGTACCTGTGCGAATGAATAAAAGTAGGATGAGCCAGACACTTAGGCTCCTGACAGACACTAGAGCCAAGAGCCTCCTGGATGCCTGTATGCTCAACTGTGTTTGTTCTTCATCCTCATTTTCCCCTGGGTCTGGGTGACAAATAGCAGGACCAGCTTCCTGTACAGGACTTCCAATCAGGGACACAGCCCAGGGTAGACCAGCTTCCTACAAATAAGTCTTTTCTTTAAGTTCAGGAAGGCAGTTTTGGGTTTTCTTTATTTTTTATTTTGAAGAGAATAAAACCATACAAAATAAATCAAAATATAATCAATCAAAATAAATATGATGCGGGACTTCAAAACAAGATAATAGGAATACAGCAATGGCTATCATAATTCCTCTTGTTATCTTCAAAGTAGCTGCCTATACCATCAGACATAATAAAATCAAATAAAACAGAATAAAATCAATCAAAACAAAACAGTGAAAGCAATACAGGACTTCAAAACAAGATAATAGGAAATCAATAATGGCCACCATAATATATTTTGTCATCTTTGAAATAGTTGCCCATGCCATCAAATATAATAAAATCAAACAAAACAACAGAATAAAACCAAACTAAACAGAATAATGAAAACAATACAGGGTTTCAAAGCATGATAATAGATTAACAATGGCCACTGCCTTCTCCTTTCACTTTCACAATATCTATTGTGCATTTTGGATCCCACTAACTCCTTTATAGCTTATATACTTTTTATACTAAGGTGACAACATGGTGTTCACTGATATGACTCTGAACCATTTCACCGATGAACATGATGTCAAGTTGTACAAGAGCCTCAAGATTATCTTTCTTTATAGCTGAGTAGCTTTCCATTGTGTAAAAATGCCATATCTTTCTTATCCAATCTGCAGTTGATGGGCAAGCTACTCCAACTTTTTTTCTTGTTCCATTTCATAGATAGGATTGTTCTCTCTTTGACTCTCAGTCTATGAATTTTCTTTCAAGTTAAATGTGTTTCTTGCATAAAGCATATTGATGGATCCTGTCTCCCGATCCACTCTGCCTGTATTTCTTTTTACTGGGGAATTGAGGCCATCTACATTAATGATTACAGCCAATCACTGGCTCATCTCTGCCATGCTATTTTCCTGCCATTGGCAGCCTACCTTTCCCTTCCATTCCACTGTCTGCCCTGCTTGGTGATCCCACACTGCTGCTGTTCCTAGAACCATGGTCATTTTTATCTCTCCGTAGGATATTCTTCAGTATTCTTTGCAGGGTTGGCTTGGTGATCATGAATTCCTTCAGGGGTTCTTTGTCTTGAAAGTATCTTGTTTGTCCATTAAGTCTGAAAGATAGTTTTTCAGGGTACATCAATCTGGGTTGGAGGTTATTTTCTTTCAGGACGTGGAATACTTCACTCCAAGCTCCTCTTGACTTGATAGTTTGTGTTGAGAAGTCTGTTATGATTCTGATGGGTTTTCCTTTATAGGTGATCTGCTTCTTTTCTCTGGCAGCTTTTAATATTCTGCTCTTGTGCTGAATTTCTGGGATCTTGATTATTACATGTCTGATGTAGATCTATTTTGGTTATGGATAGCTGGAGTTTTATATACCTCCTTTATTTGAATGTCACATCCTCTTCCAATGCTTGGGAATTTTTCTGATGTTACTTCTGTAAATAGACTTTTTATGTCATTTGTGTTGAACCTTGCTTTTTTGCTGACACCTGTTATTCTTATTTTTCTTTGCGTCATCTTGAAACCATTGAATTGTTATTTCCTGGTTCCTTGTTATTTTTAATAGATCTTTTCTTTCATGATTACCAGCTGCAAACCTGTCTTCAAGGTCTGAAAGTCTATCTTAAGTTTCTTTCAAGTAGTTCTGCCAGCTTTCAATAGAGTTTTTAATTTCCTGGATTTTTTTTGAATCATGCATTCTAAACCTTTCTTATATCGTTCATTCAAGGTTTCCCTCATTTTCCTATTTTTTAATCTATGTCTTCTCTAGAGATGCTTAGCAATTCTTTTATTATGTTTCTCATTTTTTCTTTCACCTGAGATACTATTTCTGTTCTAATTTATTTTATAGCTTGATGAAATTGTTTCTTTACTTCAGTTGCCATCACTTCAGAAACTTCAAGTGGACGACTTCCAGTCTCTTCTATGTTTTCATCTCCTGGACTTGCTCTGCGTGGGTTGAAGGCCAGAGACTGCCTTTTGCTACTTCATCTTTCTGGGGTCCTTCCAGACAAGTGGGTAGTAGGGTCCCAGGCACTTCCCACATTGCCTACAATGTCTCTCAAGTGTTACTGTTTGGTTCTCCTGCCCAGTTCTGGCTATGGGTATATGATGGTGGCCGCTGGGTATGCTGGTGTGGCACTGGCTGCTACTTTTCCCAGTCTATGCTCACTACCAGCAACAGGAAGCATCCCAGATAGTGGCTGGTGTGCTTCTGCGGGCAGGGCTGGTGCTTCCCAGACCTGAACTGGTTACCAGCAGGAGGCATCCCCAATGGCAGCTGATATGCACTCAAGGGACAATAAATATTTTTCCATTTTTGTACTAATCTAGAACCTTAATGATTTTACTTTTTGTGTAGAATGTTTTATGTGCTTTTACATTTAAATGTATAAGCTGGAGCTTGAATATTTTCTGAATGATGTTTTCAATTAATAAAGCATTTCAGCATTATATTAAAGCCACTCGCATATGAACTACCCAAGAAATAATATCATGAAATAGTAAAACCAGCCATTGATCCCCTTATGACTCACCATTTGAGTTCAATAAACTATAAAACCAAGTCAACTCTTGATACTTCTCTTGTCATAAAGTCACACAACAGTTTTCCTAGAATCCATTTCCAATTATGTACTACATTAGTGGCCAGAGACAACACTGATTTCCCCCAGCTCTGTAAATATAAACCCCTGAATTATTTCAACACTTTGCTCATAGTTCCATTGAAAAAGTAAGATGCTGTTTGTCAACACTGCAGAATTCTCTTACCTTTTAAATTTTTATAGGTAAATGGATGCACCTTGAAAACATACTTATTGGTGAAATAAATATGTCATGCATGTATAATCATCACACTGTTTCATTAGTACGATAAGGGAAAAAAACATGTTTTTTTTGTCCCAGAGAGAAAGATTTCAGCCAAGTAATGACTCAGGGTACACCTGCCTTCACTTTAACTAACCTTTAACTGTGGGCCATTTTGAGTTGACTTTTGGATGTTTAAAGAAATTTTTGATGTGCTATAAGGTTTGGTTTTTTTCATGTGGGTATCCAATTGTTCCATTATATTTATTGAGGGTACAATCCTTTTTTCAATTAATTTCTTTTGCATTTTTGCCAGAAATCAGATGTCTGTTATGTAGGTATCTATTTTGAGACTTTATACTGGTAGTTTGGTAGTTTGTCTATCTTGCTATCAGTGTCATTTGTCATGATTGGTGTAACTTTGTGATAAGCTGTGGGACTGGGGATGGTTCAAGCTCTAATTTTGTTCCTCAAAGTTGTTTAGACTATTCTGAGTCTTTTTTATTTTTACAGAAAAGTTAAGATAATGGTAATCTATATGAAAGATGATGTTAACAGTTTGAGAAAGGATTATGTTTTCTGTTCTTTATTATTTTCTCTATTTATTTTTTGTTTCATTCTCTTTTATTTTTAATTTAAAAACAAAAATAAAGTCCAAATAAATAAATAAATTCTCTATAAGCACAGTAACTGAGTTTTCACAAATTTCTTTCTTTTCCAGTACTTGCTCTCAGGAATGATTACAATATTGACAGAGAGGAGGCAAACAAAGTTCATGGTAAGTCAGAGTGCTCGGAGCAATTCCAGTTTCAATGGGCAGTAAGAGGAAAGTTGGTGGGGAGTTGGCATTATCTCAGAGTCACTGGAAACCTCAACATTGTGGGAGGACAGATATTGCAAATACTAAAAAATGTTAGTTTCTGCATTTTCACCCACAATCAAAGTGCACACCACAGCTACTGATATCTGTGCTGGACTTCATTGATTATAAAAGTAATTTACAGACTATGTCAATTCAGGAAGTAAATCAGTAAATTAAACTTATATATAACAAAGTAATACAAATTAAAATGTCAGCTGTGGCTGAGGACAGAACTCAGTAGTAGAGAAGTACTTGCCTCGCATGCACAAAGCCCTGGCTTTGATCCTCAATGAACACAGGAGATAAATGTCAGATGTGACTTGTAAGTGTGGTTATCTTGAAATGATCCAATGTCTTTTACTGCCATCTTCAGTTTTCCCTTTTTGGCTTCCTAACATGTTTAAGAGCATTTAATTGGAGGGCAAGAGAGGGTATGAAAAAAGAATTAGGAATGCTGTGTATGTGCAGCAACTCCCCGCAATGGATATAATCATTATGTACTGCAAACATGTACAAATAAAAACTCAAAAAAAAAGAACTTTTGTTATGATGGAAACTGAGTAAGATGTTGTGAAGAGTGTGGACTGCATTGATTTCTTTTAAAATATATTGAGTTTTGTGGTGGTAGCTACTGAGACGGAAGAATAAGAAGTTAGGATAATTATATATGTTAATACCTGTAGGTTGATATGTAGGATAGTAGAGAAAGAAATCTATGAATTATTCTAAGAAAAGCAAAAACCTGGGAGAACAACTAGAGTTAATTATTTCAGAAGACTATAAATTATTCAAAAACACGGCAGAAACTGCAAGTCCTCCACCCAAGAGATGCTACCAAACCCCAGAAAGACAGAAAGGTCTGTCAGGCTTTAATTTGGAGCTAGTTCTGTCTCTTTTTCTCCTGAGGTCAACAGCATGGAAAAGCCAATGATACTACAGCCAATGAAGAGAGCTCACATAATTTTGTCTTCTGTTGCAAGACTTTTCCCTTGACTGAGAATATTCAGTATTTTGTCTGGATTTGCAGCGCCCCAAAAAATTACTGGCCCCAGGATATTGTAGCTATCTGTGGGGACACAGATTTCTGTTTGCTATGGAAACAAAGCCCTGCCCCTAGGTGGCTGGAGCAATACCAATCTGTTGGCACTGGTGCAGCTGAATGAGGCTGTGAGTTCAGGTGAATAACAGCCTTATCAGGAATCTGTAATAAAATTCTGGAAACAACCATATAGCACTCTAAAAAGCTCCATCAACTTCCAGACAAGGTGGTGAACAGCAGTGGCCAGAACTTGCCTTCTCCTCTACACACAAGAGCCACAACAACAAATCAGCAGCTGCACTTGTGAGCTGAGTGTCACTGGAGCCCAGCAAAGGGGAGATAGAAAGCCATGCAGAACTGAGACAGTGATAGGAGTGGAACGAAGCGTATCATGACCACATCCTGGCTTCCTGGCAGGGAAGCTCCTCAGCACAAGGTGAGCAGGAGGGTCCCTGTGGATCCCTTTGCAGTGGACCTCAGCATCTTAACTCTGAGAATAGTTGAGTGACTTTACAGTCCCAATTAGGGAAGCTGGAGTCTGCACAGCATGTTTGATCCAGAGAAATTCATTATCTGCCCCCAAATTCTAGAGTGCAGGCAATTACAACACAGTTAACACACTTGGAGGGGCACTGTGCTGCCAACCCACCAGCAAAATGTGTGCTGTTCTTGGACCAGTGGGCACATGTCAAGACAACACCACCAGTGGAACACAACCATGCTCTAGCAAAAGACGCCAAAGACAAAAGACATTGATGGGCTGCCTGATTAAGAATTTGAAAGAATAAGTACAAGGAAACTCAGTGAGATTACACACAGTTCGACGAAATTGGGAAAACAAGTCATCATATGAATGAGAAGTTCAGCAGAGAGATCAAAGAGATTGGGGGAGGACACAAATGTTGGAAATGAAGATCTTGATACATCCAAAAAACGAGTTGAAATCTCAACCACAGACTAGGTCAAGCAAAAGAAAGCCTATCTGAACTTGAAGACAGGTCTTTCAATATATCCCAGTCAGACAAAAGGAAAAAAATTAATAGAGCCTCCAGAATGTATGGGACAGAGTGAGGTGAACAGACTTTTGAATGTTAAGGTTACCTGAAAGTGAAAGGTAAGATAAAAGCATAGAAAACCTATGTCATGAAATAATAGCTGAATACTTCTGCCATCTTGGAAAAGGTTTGTACGTCCATGTGCAGGAGGCCTATAGAGTCCCAGGTAGATCCACAACATAGCCTATTATAGCCAGACTGGCAAGGGTACAAGCCGTGGAACCCTAGGAACTGCAAGGAAAAAACACCAAGTCATATTTAAAAGAAGCTTTAAGGTCAGCAGGTTGCTCAGCAGAAGCCTGACAGCCCGAGAGGAAGTGGGATGACATATTAAAAGTTCTTTTTAAAAGCCTGCAAACAAAATGAAACTATACCCATCAAACCTATCCTTCAGAAATAAAGAAGACATATAAACTTTCAAGATAAGCAAAACTGACCCCACAAAAAATGTTTAGTTTCACAGCCAGCAGCCAAAATAAATAAATAAATAAATAAAAATTTCAAAACTAAAAAAAATAACAACATTACAATCATGAAAACAAGTCAAATTATAAAAATCCACTAGAAAAAAAGATGCACAGGAGTCTGGTGTCAGTATAGTAAACCCTCAAACCACACAGATGCACAACAAAAACAGAAGAAAAGAACAAAGTAAAGACAAAATAAACAAGAAAATCAACAAAACGACAAGCAAAAAAATTTGGTTATTATAATAGCCAACTTTCCCACTGCAAGGACAAAATATTTGCCATACAATGCGTAAATCACCAGTTTTGTTATAAAGGTAAAAAGAGAGACATATTCTGATTCTGTGCTGAGCGCATAACTAGCCTCATTAGCATAAAAATTTAAAGAAAAAGTAAAACAGTAGTTACAAAAATTGGTTAAGGATTACAGCCATATAAAACCATGAGATCCATCCAGACTAGAGAGTGTCCAAAACCCCCTTTAATGTTGGAGTCAGATTGCACAGATGGATGACGGCAGACTGTTTTCTCATTCACCCTCTGATGGAACCGGTGCTGCTTTGTTTCAAGCTCTTATAAGCACAGCTTCATGCACAAGTCTTCACACAGACTTCATCTTTAATGCATTCATATTTAATATAAAATGCCTTCATTCCTGAGTAAACCCCTGAATCGTGCTATGTGTGCATTTACCTTTTTAAGAGATTACCAAATCATCTTCCTAAGTGCCTCTTGCACTCCTGCCCATCTATACCAGGAGCCAAAATAAATGTTTTGCTCATTTTATTCAGATAATCTTTCACCAGCAAAACCTCAGGTGAAAACACTTCTGGCTCCTGACAGCTTACCAATGTCTTTGCTTAACGAGGCTCTTTTTCCAAACAAAAATAGATTATTTTGGAAGGTGTATTTGCCCACATAATTAAAATTTTAGCAAGTACTCCATTTTAATTATGTTAACATGCAGTGCTATGATTTGCTAAGCAATAATGTTGACTATTTCAACATAAAAATGAATTAATGAATGTTCGATTTTAATTTGGTTCTCTTTCTTTAGTGGAGATTTGGGCCCAACAGATCTTTCTCAAATGGGCGGGGAGTCAAAAACTGGAGAAAGGGGAGCAAGGGAAGGGAGGGCTTGACAAAGGAATAAGGATGGGTACCGTGCCCAGGCCGAGCCCAAAAGAGTTGCGAACCTGATGTGCTACAGATGTGTGCTAGTAAAAAATGAAGAAACAAATGTAATTTTTAACCTTATAAAAATATAGTATACATTGAAAAATAACAAATTAATTGAGCTCACTGGGCAACCTGCAATAACAATTTAGAGAGACATATGTTTTATACAGTGAAACAGGTTTCAGAATCTAGTGATTTAAACTCATACTTTTTAATCTATTTTTGTATTAGAAAGAAATATATTAGTGCAGATACGGACAAGGAAATAAGTCTTAATAACAGTATCATACTTATCACCTCCCTGGCCTCAACTACAGACAAAGGACAGGAATGCAGCAACATCATAAATACGTACTATCTGGAGTATATACCATTTGGCAAAAATGTGACCTGAACACAAGCGTAGATTCCCCACCATCCTCAAGATAATACCCGAGTTTCTAGCGAAACAGGCTGTACTTTTCCCACAAAAGTCGCTATAACTCACAGGCTGGCTCTCCAAAGTGAACCATAAAAACACCCAGAATTTTAGTAATCTCAATGGCCACTTGGTACTGTTTCTCTGTTGCAGATACCCTGCATGATTTCAATCAACATCTTCAGCCTCTGTATCTCAGTGATCGGTCTGATTTTACTATTAATTGAGCTTGCTATAGCTATCTTTTTAATATCATCACCTATTTGGCAACTGGTAAGTATCAGGTTCCTATGAGAGTGTCATCATTGCATTAGAATTATGCATGAAATTCTTCAATGAGTGATCAATTATTGAAGTGTTAGAAAAGCCGTAAGGGATGATTATCACTAGTTTACTCTTTGGCATCTATCTGCACTGACTAAAAATGTGATTCAAATCACAGGTCATATCCCTAAGCCCGGGATCACCCAGACTCTCAACTAAGCAAATGAAAGGTATGATAAATACTAAAATAGGCATTTTAAGGGAGCAGGCACTGTATTCACTTCTGGATATACCTGATTGCTATGTATTAGCATGACACTTCAGTTGTCAAACTCAATTCATTCCAAATTTATGTTTCAACACCAAAGTTTGAGAACTAAACATAATTTTTCCATTAAAAGTAATGGAAAGCCAAAATTGGTTCTGAGGTCCAGAAATCACAGTTGTAAATTCATTTTTCTGGTATTTTAACAAGATTTACAATGATTTCTTTAACTGTACCACGGTTCTGAGTTTTCTTCTTAGCTTTGTTGCTGGTAACGCTACCTTTCTTTGGTGCCCTGATTACAATATTTTACGTGAATAAAATACAATAAAACTCAATGGCAAACGTTTTAACACACTAACGCAAACGCTGTATGCCCCATGGGTGAGAACAGTGCTTAGACAGAAGCATAACGCCTTTGGTTCCCAGGGAGACTTACTCACAGCCCATTTCAATTAGACTATCAGTTCAAGTATCAAGCAAAGTTATAAGCACCATGCAGATATTTGTGAACTTTGCTGATTTGAACCTTTCAACAAACGAGGAATCACTGTGTTTAGACCTTGTGCTTGCTAGGCAGGTATTCATGCTGCTGAGCTGTCCCCAGTCCATACCTGCAATTCTTAAGGCCTGTTCTCCTAAGGCCTTATTGACCAAGTTTCTTATAACAAAACTGAATCCTTAAATAAGAAAATGGCACCCTTACATCCCTGTGACTCCCAGGACTTTATAGTCATATAAGTACAGCTGTCTATACACGAATAACATTCAGGAGGCACATGTGACTTAGAATGCATGTGTACTCAGATCTACATGTGCATGAGCACATGGACGTGTTTGCACCATCTGCTTGGTGTATGTGGGTGGTCTGTGTAAGACTGTCCCGTGGCATTTATGTTCCTACTTCAGAGTCCGTGTGTATCTGTGTTTCTGTGTGGCAGCACTGTGGACATGTGTGTGTTCACCTGCACAGGTTTACTGGTGTAGAGATAAGGTGTTAGGTGTACAAGCAGGAAGACGCTACTACCAATCAAGTTGCACAGGGAGGAAGACATAGAAACCAAAGTCGTGTCTATGAGTTCCCATCATGCTGCTTTATCTCATCTGCCCAGAGCTTGTTGCACCTCTGATAAAACCTACCAACCAGCTTCTCTGAGTGGATCCTACTGGAGGTTCCGAAGTCCGTAGCCTACTTAGGAAAGCTCTGCTTACTTCAATATCTAAAGCTCTTGGTGTCTGAATCACTTTTTCATATCTGAGACCCACACCCACTACTTAAAGAAGGAGAGGTTTATTTTGACTCACATTTGTGTCCATGATTGGTCAGCACCAAAGAAGCAACAGTGTGGCAGACAGGAGTCATAGAAGAAAAGGTGCTCACATCCTGGCAGCCAGGAAACAGAGAGGAGCTGGACAGAGAGATACATCCTTCCCAATCGTGGTCCCAGTAAGCCACCAGGCCCCTCTTCCTCACCACAAGTCCACTGTAAGATCTCTATAGTCCAATTCTCTTCTAAAAGCTCTGCCTCTGAGCACATAAGGCTCTTGGGGGACATCTAGATATAAACCATATTTGGTTAATTAGCTAATTCCACAGCAGATATTGCTCTGTATCTTGCCTTTTTTTTCCATTTCTACATAGTTTTGAAGATTTTTACAGTGAGTGGGACCATAATTCTTAAAGAAATGACCTATATTGTTAATTCCGTAGAGAAGCAAGCCTAGAAAGATGAAGCTATTTTCTCAGATTCACACTCTGCTCACCTGTAGAGTGACTAACGAAGGATTTGTTCTAATCATGGATTGTCTACATTCTAAATTATTTCACTACTAAAACTGAGTCTTAACAGAAATCTACTCACTGGCACATCAAGGGCTAGTTTATTGCCACATAAAGAATCTTAGTATTATATGACATCCTGATAAATACCTTCAAGTGATATCTTAATATGAACATCAGCATATTGTTTAATATTATATTTGTATAAAAGTAATAGCGATTTTACCGAACAATCTTTCAATTAAAGTCTTAAGTCTTTCATTTTTCCAATTCATCTCTTGAACCACCAATGCTCATCTTAGCAGGAGTTCTAGATTCATCCTTTTAAAGCCCCCTCCTTTTTGATTCTATTAAGTCATTCAAGGAGACTGAGAGCCAGAGGTTCAGTATTAACTCCAAACCCATAAAATCCTGAAGCACCTCACCAGTCCACAAGCATGCCCAGTACTTACCTCTAAAGTGCTATGAAACAGTGCCATTACTAAAGACTGGTCTGCATAGCCGTTGGTAGTCTTGTCACAAAAGTACACTGATTACTGAGGAAACTTGGGACTCCACTAGTATAGACTCTGTACTTGTCCTCAACCCAGTTATCCTGTGAGGGCCTGGTGGGACTTCAAATCAGAAGCACAATCCCAGCCAGGAGCATCCAGCCCCAGGATTCATAGCCACCTAAGTCCAGCCTTCAAATTCAAACCTCCTCTTCCCTCACTATGAGTTCTTCTGTAGGATCATTTACTAAATAACAAGGCAAACTTTGGAGAGCTCTTTATTTAAAAAGTCCTGTAACACCAAACCTCAAGAGTCTCTCGATTCTATTGTCTCCAGAGTTTCATTGGCCTCAATGAAAATTTGATGATTTTATGTACAACAAACAAGAAAATACAATCACTGATCCTCATTCTCAGAAATCTTTAACAGTTTACTCTTAATAATTATTATTTATTATCATTATAATCAAAAATGTATGAACAATCTGGGGTGTAATTCAGTGGTAAATCACTTGCTTAGCTTGGGCAGCACACAAACTTTGATCTGTAGTACCACAAAAAAAAAAAAAACAGTAAAATGATCAGTTGTTGAAGGTAGAAAATATACTAAGTAGTGTTTCTATTTTTTTATGCTCGCAATTCTATAATACAAAATATATAAAGGTAAAAAACATACCTTTTCTTTTTGAACACAGAAAAGTGCTAAATTGCTCTCAGCATATATGTTCCTGTTCACCGCAATGCAGGTGTCTATGGCCTATACAGCAACCAAGTGGGGATTTCGAGCAAAAAAAGGAAAGTAAATATGTAGTGAGTACCTCATTTCTCCCTGGATGAACAAAAGCTCTTGGGTTCTTTCATGGGCCTTATGTGAAGAACTAACATTTTGATATGAACTAAACAAAAAGCATGTTCTCACTAGACTGGGGGATGTAGCTCAGTGGTGGAATGCCTTCCAGCATAGGCAAAGACCTGAGTTCAATGCCCCGCACTGTGGGAAAAAGGGAGATGGTGTTATAAACAAACTACGACTGTAGATAGCTAGAAACCCTGTGCAGGAACTATCATTGCAATAATGAGTATCTACGATTGAAAACAAATATCCTTCCCTGTATGAAATGTTTCATATTTACAGGGTTTTTAATACCCACACCCTCATGGGTGAATAAGAAAGGATAGTAGTATATGATTTTTTTGTTCATATGTGTTTAATTCAACAGATAATTTCGTAGAAACAAAAGAATGTTGTAGAGGTTGTTATCAGGCTCAGGAATATGGAAATGCTGAGGTTAATTCTCAGAATTTCAGGGAACAACTTGAAGGTCAAAGTATAGGAACTTCAGTTTCTTAAGAAGCCAAGATTTTGGAGGAAATATGAAGTTGAAAAAGACAATCAAAATCTTTCTCCAAGGGGACAGGGGTTTAGCTCAGCAAGCATAAGTGCCTACTTGTCAAACACGAGGTCGTGAGTTCAATCCCCGATACTAAAAAAAACACCTTTCTCCAGGAAAGCTATTATCTTATTTCTACCACATCTACTACTCCAGAACTAAAGGCAAACATTTTCACCAGTGGACTTTGTCAACACTGTTTCAAAACACTTTGCTGAAGAATACATCTACTCTCTCCCCTTGTGACCACTCCTCAGGCCCAGATCATAAGAAGGCACAAGGGTACCTGGAGGTAGACTGTGGTTTATGCCATGAATTCTAGGCCAGAAAAGTTGCTATATTTGAGATATTGCTTTTGAAGCAGTAAATATCTTCACATGCCCTTTACTTCTGGCTAAAATTCATTTCTTGCCTCCATATATGAAGATTCAACCAAAATATTTAGATCTTTTTCCAGCATTTCACAAACTGCATTGCAAAGTTCCCGCTCTCCAGAGCACTGGTATAGACTGGGATCTATGATTTCGAATACTTATTTGCGTATCTTCCCCACTGCTAAGCACAATTCTATAAGGAATATCTTCTTCAACTTGGTGTTTTCCCTCCCAAAATTAAAACAGCACCTGGTAAGTAACAGGTGTTAGTTACAAATCCAAACAATATTTGTTTTAATGATTTGAAAAGCAAAAGACAATGGAGGTAGGATAATTAATCCTGAAATAATAAATACACATTTATGCCTCAATATAAATGCATCTGAACAGAGATTCCTCACACTTAAAAACTGATTAAGGCCAGGAGTCTCCAAAAGGTTACTGACAAACTACCATGAACCACAGTAAATGTGTACCTACCATTTTCATTTGAGACATTAAAGCACGTATATCCGTTACTACCTGAAATGACACCTAAGAGCATAAGAGTACAGGCAATAAATGTCATCCACAAAGTGACTAAAACCAACAATAAGAACTATAAGCTATATAAAGCTTTAAAAAGCATCAGCAAAGGAAAAGAGACTGTTTTAAAGAAAGGGGAAGATTAAAATAAGTGGAAAGTATATATTCCCAGTAAACTGGGAA